ACCTGCCTTACACCGAGTTTTAAAAATCGGAAATGTTTAGTTTCATATGTTCTGTAAGTAAAACAAAACTATCCCAAAAGTATACAAATTTAAACCTTATCGAGGTATCTGTTCTCTGCACTCTCTGCCATACATTTTGTCAAATTTAAGCTCTCAGAATTCAGTATTAAAGCAAACAATATCCTGCTCTCTCTGGTTTATAAACTAATCTATTGATAATGTAAGGAGAAGTGAGATTTTGTAGCTTCTGGGGGTGAAAGGGCACATGACACATAAGGATAGAAGGAGGGGTCCTCTTCTTTTGTTATTTGGAAGAAATGTCCTTGCCAGTTTCCCCTTGTTGTTAATATTAACATTATCTTGGCTTTTTTTGGTAATTAAGACATTTCTAGGACCGTAATTAACCTCAGTTGGTAATTCAGTGCTTTTTTCCCTAGTAGAACTTTGAAATTTAATTCGTACTTCATACAGTACTTAGTGTTGAGACCCAACATCTTAACTCTAGAGACAATATTATTTTTTATCTTCAGCTGGGCTTTTTTGAAACCAAAGCCAAAGGAGATTGGACACCCATGATAACAGAAATGGGCAACAGAGGCTGGGAGCTGGCTTGCATGTTGGAGACTCCAGAGGTTACAAAAATAGGCCTTGGAAACATGACATTCAAAGTGTTATTTTTCTTTCAAAGACGTTTGGTGCCACCTGGGTGCTATCCCACAGCTACTCCTCAGGGAATTCCTGGTCGCTATGGGCCTCCTCAGGCCCCTTATGTCCCACCCCCTGGGGCACAGTACCCCATGACTGGGCAAGCAGCAGGGTACTACCCTCCTCAGGGGCAAGCTGCTTGTCCTCCAATGGGTGGATACCCAAACTATGCGCCTCCACCATACAGTGCGGCACCTGAACCAAGTGCACCCCCTCTGCCTGAGAAGCAGTAACTGCCATAATTTGTATTGGTTTAGAAATGTAAGGTTTATGTGACAAGGTGCAGAATATTATTAGTACTAGGTACTATCTCAAGCTTAAGCATTTATCTTTTTTTATCAATTTTAACATAAATTTGGAATGTCTTTTAGTTGAAGTTGCTTTGAAGTCAGGATATGAATATGGCTAACTCTGAGCTAAGGCTTAAGTGTCAAACTCTGCTCCTGTAATGACGGGAAAAATTTGTTTGAAAGTTGCTTGTTGATCTCTTTATTGAACCATTGGTATTTTATAAAACCATAGTCAAGTAGTTCAAAACTCATGGGCACTCATTTCTGGTTTACTTTTTAAATACAAAATTTATGTGTCAACGTTTTACAACCTCGTTTCTGCTCTTTGCTAGTAAATGCTTCCAGCAGTGTTTCAAATGTCACAAAGAACATGACTGCAGAAATGAACCATATTTTTACCTTTGGATTGGATAACCTGGAATAAAAAATCAAACAGATCTTACTGATTATGTTATTGTCGAAGTCAGTACAGATATAGAGATCTGAAAACATTCATATTTTGCCAGCGTTAAACTGTGCTCTTAGACACTGATTGGCTGTTACTACCAACTGAGCTGTGAAGCCAAATTTTAAAAAAAAGGCAGTTTTTCTGAAGAAGTAAAGTGTCGCGTTCCTGATGCCGCAGACACGTGGTGTTGTGCACCGGAGTTCGCCAGTATAACCTCAGTGTTGAACTTTAGACAAGTAGCAGCATCAAACTCTTTATTCACTTAAGCTGGCAGTCTTTGTACAGCACAGGCGGTAAAAACTATAGAATGGATACATGAGGGAAAACCGAAAGACTACGAAACTAGAAATGATAAAAATGAAGAATATTACACGCGTAACTTACATTGGATCTTGACTCGGGGTAGAGAGCTCCTAAACTCCGTTCGGTTCCGAAATGGTTTTGCTACAGTGACTCCTCGCAACTAAACTACTTGCTAATAGAAGGCAAATTTAATAGAACGTGATTGAAAGTTTCTTTCATTTTGTGTCTTTGTGCTAAAAACGGAAGAGTTACATAAGTAAAAAAGATTAGAGTTCGTATCTGTAAAAGTGACAGAAAGAGTTAAGGACATTTAAAGATTTTGTTTTTGTAGTTACACTTCGTTGTACTTTAATCTGTACTTTTTTCTTGTAACTACCCAAAGAACATTTGATTAATAGTTAAATGTAATGTATGTGAACAGTATAAATTAATATGAAAAATGAAGTATGGAATTTTAGTACCTAAATACCACAGGTGAATAGTGCTTTATGAATATTAAAATAGAAGTTAGATAATCAATTAAAAGAAACATTTATGTAACAGCAAGTAGGAAAACTTGATGGGTAAATTGTACATACATCAGCATAATATTAAGATACTTCTAGCCTTTCGATCGGCATCTCTTACCAGTAAATAACAGAAAGTGAGTAAGTTTCCACCATGTAAAACATCAGGAAACACACAGAGTGGACTTGTCTTTGATTCAGGGGCAATTCGTGCAACTATTCAATATTAATTTTAAATATTACAGGGCTTTGGGTCCATAAGATTACTAGGACTTTTAAGAAGTGGGACCTAAGAGCCATTTCATAGACCCTCTAACTCTGCTGTACCCTTGCATCAACCCTTTGTTATATCTTTTTTTTTTTTTTTCCTGTGGAGTACTTTACCAGAAAAAGTTGTTTCTATAGACCTGTTACATCACACATTCCACAGTTGATGTCAGTGAGTTTTACAAGTGTAGCATAATCACAAAATAGTCCTACTGTGTGGTTTTTAAGAAGGAACTTTGACATTACTTTAGCCCAAGTAATGAAATAGTGGGTTGCAGAAAAGGGTTGACACCCATAGCTTACATAACAGATGGAGCATCTAGCTTCTGGGCAATTGATTGTCTGGCACATAAGAATAACATGGAATCAGGGGGGATCCCTTCCTGTAAGAGACAATCTACGTCACTGTTTCAGTTTTGTACCTGCTGTTATTTTCTTTGAAGGGGCACACACTTGTTCTAAGGGTGTTCTCTCCACGGGGGATCACTTATAGAGAGTAAAAAACAGAGTACCAAACCTAAGAGTGAATTGAGATAATTTATTTAATGTTCAGACAAGTGAAACACAGGGCTTAGGAAAAGTGGTGGTGAAGCTAACAAGACAGCAAGTCAGTGCTGAGCCCTGTTGGGATCAAAAAAAGAGTAACTGCATTTTCTTATAGAACTACACTTGAACCAAAACTGATCATTCAAACAAATACTTAAAAACTCTGGCAACAACTGACCTCACACTGTGGCAACCAGAGCATATCTAAACATGGCCTTGACTGCATTACAAAATACACTAGTCTAATGATGCCCATTTCTATAAGTACTAACAGGGCACAACACTAACCTTTCAACTTACTAACCAAGTGTCTAGTCACAACCAGATGCTACAACAATTTTAGTTTGTTTACCAGCCAAACTGGCAAGTGGAAATAAAAAACCACTGCCAAAACTGAATTTCTACTAGTTTGTGGCTAGTTGGCTACCATTTACGTCTAGCCCTGACTAACCAATGTAGGTTTACTTAAAATGTAAAATTTTCCCTTTTAAAGTTTTGAGCTAGTCTCATTAATTCCTCAATCATAGAGTGAGTGCTGCCTCTGCACCTTTATCCCAGATGTAGAGCAAGAGCATGCTGATCTTACAATTTGATAACTCAGTCTGTTAGTTTTGTCAAGTGATAAGGTTCGGTGTTGGAGATATTACAAATAAAAAACCATGTTACCAAACTTATCATTGCAATATGAAACCATACCAAATAAACAAAACCAATCATAGATACAATTTTATAAATATGCAGTGAAATTGTCAGAATAAAACACTGTTTAATCCAAGTTACTTTGACTGAATATTCCTTTACATCCATTTTATGTGTACTTTCTTCCTAGATAGCAACAGCCTCTGTTGTTAAACTGTTATCAGCCTTCACATACGAACTTAAGCCCCACAACTTGCTCCAAGTTTCACATTTACTTCAATGTTTGGTCTTTTGCTGTTACAAACAATCTACAAACAATCCTATTATCTTACAGTCAAGTTTACCTTACATTCATCCTAAAATCAACTTGGCACATGACTTAGAAAAGCAGTGACATTCAATTAGGAACAGGGTCTACTTAGAACTCTGCTTAAAAGAGAACCCCAACTGCAGGTGAATTTTATCTGTAGTTGAAATTAAATACATGTATACTTCATAACAAGTTTTTATCAAAAAGAACTTGTCACAAGAACTACACAGTCGAGCTATGAATAGTTATCACCAACAGGAAACATACAAGTTAGGTTAACATTAAGTGTGTGTAAATAAGGTCCATGTATACAAGTTAATAATGTTTATGAGTAACACTAAATACCACAAACCTAAGGTTTTGCATCTATATATCTAAACAAAAAATGGATGCAAAAATTAAGAATAACAACATTACTTTAAAGTTTAAACATTAAACACTGTCCCCAGATTAAAATGATGAATTAAAATATCAGGTAATGAAAGATACAGTGATTTGATCTTTCAGTGTCAAAATATGACTATCATAATGATAATTAAAACAGGATGAAAAATTGTCAGGGAGAACTATTACCAAGATCTATTTCAACAGTCAAAATGTTCTCTTGGTTTTCATCCAAATCCAAAATGAAATATAATTTCCCCCTTAATGTTATTTTGTCTCAGTCTGTATAGCACTCACCACTGAAGAGCAATACAACATCAGAAAAAAATTGTGTATTTCCACACCCAATGAGAAAATTTCAAGTGGAAAAACATTGAACAGACTTGTTAAAGCAAGATATCAGATTGAAATTCTTCTCCGCTGAATTTTCACCGGACAAATATGGGGTTGCTCGATTACTAGAATTAAACACTGACAAGTAACAGAAAAATGTTGTACTCAAAATATGTGATAACCATTTGACACTAAAGTGTTCCCTTTTACTGTACTCATCTCTATGTGCATGTTTACATCAGAAAAGAAACATCCCCAAGAACTTCATGAATAAAATTATCATTACCAATATTGATTCATTAATTAAATTAGAATATGGTAGAATATCTGAATCATATCAGGCTTTAATGAACCTAAAACACCATAAGTCATTATTAGTGTTATGGAAATTCCTTCTAACCACAACCTAGAAATGTGAATGATTGTTATGGTCTGAAATGAGTAATTTTTAAGTCACTAGGACCAATATTCCTATATTCCCATTCCTATATAGACAGATACTTCAATTTCCACACTAATAAATAAAAAACATACGGTGGCTAATTCATGGTGTGGTAATGACAGAGAATAAAAAAGACACTGCTTTAGTTTATCCTCTACAATAAATTACTTGACTTCATGACCTAATAAATACTTAATATTAAAAAATGAATTTGACAAGATCCAGCATCTAATGGTTGGTACCCTTGCCTTATATTATGTATTATTATAATAACAATTAGTAAATAAGTGATGAATGGAATCCTATGCAGCCTTGACATGTGACTTGTTTGGTTGGGTGCCAAATGGATAATCCCAAAATTTACTTGAGATACCAAAACCTGTGCAAACAGCAACATCATGGTCAGTTAATTATTAATAGCAATATAATAGTTGTAATTCACAAAACTGTTTCAAATAGTCCATGCAAAAGCAACTGCCTAAAGCCTAGAATTTTGGACTTGTGAATTTTGTGCAAATACCATATGGAAAAGAGCCTTCTCAATATTGAAGAAATTAATTAACATTTTTTTTTAAATTAAAAAAAACCCTTTACTTGTAGTTGATTACCAGACTGGTATCCTATAGGTATATTTTAATTTTGATTATTTAGAGTACTCAAAAATCCCTATTTTCCCCACAGGGTTCAAATGTATTCCATTCAACAGAGCAAGACTGAATTGTGAAGAAACCAATGGCAGCCTCCAAAATGTACCTGCCCAATATTTGCCATGCTTAAAGACCCCCACAACCCAATCCACAGAGACAACAGAATATGCTAACCATGCCTTATATGCAGGTGCTTCACTAAGGGCCAGGGGCGGCACTGGGCAAATTGATCAGCTGTGAAGATGACTTTGCCCAGCTGCCTTCAAAAGGTTAACCCCCTAGGTGGCAAAGCCCTTCAGGCCTCGCATTAACTATGGGGAGGGGGGGGGTGCTAAATTTACATGCCCTCCTACTCCAAACCCTAATGATACCCCTGCATATGTGAACTCAATGGAATTTAAATGTATTGATGAATATGAATTTAGCCACTCCTGGACCCTTTGGTTATTATACAAATAATATCATGTACCTTTCTGTTGGTCTTCAAAATGGTGTGATACATGATATTTCTTGAGCTGGTGTAGATAGCTTCCAGGTGTTGGAGAGCCGTGGTGTAAGTAGTAATGCATCATATCATATGTAATATAACCAAACAAACCACCAGCAAATAAACTCCTAGCCATGGCTAGCGGCAATACTGAGGTAAACGTAAAGTAGAAGATGGTCGCTAAGACGCCTGCTGCTACTGGAGGAAACACCAGCCTTCCACTATCAAAAGGCACCTAAAGAAAACACAGAAAAAGGAGTAATGATCAGAATTCAATTCAGACTACATTTGTATTCCATGTTGTTCACACACCCTGAATGATGCTTCAAAGAGGTTACCACTGGACTTCAAATCCAATGGCCCTAGCAACAGGTAGTGTTGAAAAAACACAAATCTTGTCATCTTTCGCCTGCACAACCTCATGTTTTTCTCAGATCTTGGTTTATTTATTCTGGCATCAACACAAAAGAGAAGTCACATTACAGCAATCACAAGCACAGGACACTCAAACACGGCATACCTTGTGATGCTGTCCATGAAGAAAGAAATGAATGGTGATCCAAAATGGGTCATCAGCAGGGACATGATTGATTAGATGAAACAAGAAGCGATGCAAGACATACTCTATCAAAGACCATACAAAAATGCCAGAAAGGAACAGCAACAAAAATGCAGAGAACGCTTTGAGTTTGGAATCTAGATAGTAAGGATTGATGTATCCAATTCCATTCTGTGTGGTTAGATTGTGGAAGCCCAGGAAGCTTACAAACAGTATGACTGGAATCCAGATTATGGGTACAACATACCAAGGAGTGGTTGAAAAAACTTCCACAAAGTCAGACTCAAAGAGTCTCAAGGGGCGATCAACAGGTGAATGAACCCAACTTAGATAGTCTGCGCGAAGTTTCCCCACTTGCGGGAGGATTGCTTTGTTCCAGTCAATGAGATCCTGCAAGAAATGGCAGAAAGAAGTATGTCAACAATTCATGTAATAACTACAGAAACAAACTACAGAAACAAACAACAGAGAAAACAAATATATTAAGAAGAGCATGTCTAAATTCATACTTCTCTCCAGCCATCCATAGGAAGATTTTGTCTTGTTGTTGAATCATATTCTTTGTTCTCCTCCTAGAAATAATACAGAAAAAAAGTTAAAACCAAATTCCTCAAAATTTTGTCTGCCCAATCAAGTGAACCTACACTAATGACCAGATGTGAATTGAACACTAGATACTTGAAGTTTGAATATATTGATTATCAAGTTCATACTTGTTCATCATCCCCCTCTGCACTACCCACCCATGGCAACCCCTAGGCATTTGACAGCTGTTTGTGGAGGAGGTAATTTGACAAGATAGATCTTCCCCAGGTTGGGAAACTTTACCCTTGCCTGGGTGGGGTAAGGATTTGAACTGGAAGTGTCCAGTCTTTCCTGCAGAATACACCCATTTTGAGAAAATGGCTCTTAAGGAAAAGTCTACAAAAGCTGAACACAATTTTTGAAGGTGTATTAAGAAACTAGAATGTACATTTCAGTGGAGTGATTTTTAGGTTTTAAGCTTGAATAGGTGAATCACTGCTGGTCAATAAGTACAAAGTCACAGATGCTGATCTTGCCTTTTTCATAAGATAGTTTTGTCCGCAGAGCATGAACTACTATTGAACAGGGAATGAACAACAACCTCTCAAACAATATTATTGCAATGTACTCAGTTGGGATGGGCATTGGGAAATGAAATCCAGTACTTGGGCAGGGCATTTGAACTCAGTTTTGGCCCAAGAGGGCAGGAATTTGAAGGAACCAATTGTCAAAACCTGAGACTTACAATTGATCAGCACATAAAATGTTGAAATGAAGAGTTGCAGAACTGCAAATGCAGAATTAAAAGCACAAGTAATGACTGGTGTGGCTAAGAAGTACAGAGATCAAAAGTGAACTAAGCATTTGATGGATTTATAACTTGCACAATAATTTGATAGCTTACACAAGAACATCTAGACACAAAATTAAAATATATAGATACATTTATTTTTAGAAAGTTTAAAAAGTTGCAAGGATGGACAACTTCTGACATCAAAAATATAAAAAATTTTAATAAAAACCGTTTTGGTCAGAGACCTTCTTCAGTTATTCACAACTTTTGAAATAAAAAAAGAGCATTAAATAAGATCAAAGTGCTAATGATTATGTAATTACAGATAATGACTAATGAACTGGTGCTAATAAAAAGATGACAAAAAACCTAATTACAAAGAAAGCAATGGACAAAATAAAATAGACAAACCCTAAAAACTAAGAGACAAGAATACTAAATATGTTAAAATGAGTGGCGTAACCAATTGCAAAGATGCAATGTGGCAAGCATTAAAAATGGAGGCCCACTTTTAACTACAACTGTAAACCATAAAATCCCAAAACAAGGCCTTTGGAGCCCAAAAGGGCAAATTAGCAACAAAATCCCTGGGGGGCGGGCCTTTAAATGATACTAATCAAAATAAGATCTCTTGGCAGGGCCTCTGAGTCCAATCCAGACCTAAAATCCAAGAAAAGGGCCTTTGAACGATCAATTGGTACATACAAACATACATTTTATTGAACATATCCCCGTCTGGGGCTTTTCAGTGAACCATTACATAATTTACATACTTGATATTATACATACAAAACTAACTAATAACACGTTAAATACAATATAAGTTACTTATAACTTTAAGAATAGAATGGTTATTTAAATAAAAAATCATTCAGGAGATGCCTTTTCAAAGCTCTCTTAAAAGAAGCTGGTTTTTCACATAGTTTCAATCTTGAGTCAAGTTTATTCCAGATGGCTACACTTCTATAATAAAAGGTCCTCTGACCTGTTGTAGTTTTAAAAAGGGGAATGTTGAGTTGTTGAAAGTTCCTCGTTATACGCCCAGATACGCTGCCTCTTGTTACAAGCTCGGATGTCAAATATTCAGGCGCTAGGCCCGTTTTACATTTGAATGATAAGGTAGCGTCACGATAGTACAGGATTGATTTTACCGGTAGCCAGCGTAGATTCCTTAACGTGGAAGAAATATGATCGTACTTCTTTACATTGCAAATAATGCGGGCGGCAAAATTTTGAACATATTGTAGCTTATGAACATTACAAGCTGATGTGGAAGACCATACTGACGAACAGTAGTACATCTTACTAAAAACGAGGGCGTTAATTATAGTTTCAAGCAGATCTTTGTTAAAGGCGAATCTAATGCGACTTAGTTGGGATAGTTTCGACATGCAAAATGAGACAGTCGCAGAGATATGATTGTCAAAGGATAGTGTGGGATCGAAAATAACACCAAGATCCTTGACTGTTTGAGCTGGGATAATTTCCTTTTCGAGCAGGGATAACTTAAAGTCTGGAACTTTAAGAGACATTCTTCGACTGCCAAAGACCATCAGTTTAGTCTTCTCAGGATTAAGCATTAAGCAATTGTCGAAACACCAATCGCGTATACGTTGTAGATCAGAGTTCACTCTTTCTGTAGCTTGCGCAGAATTATTCGCACTAAAGGATAATAGAAGCTTTGGGTCGTCCACATGGCATTCAGTTGAACAATTCTGACAGCTGTTTGGTAGGTCGTTTACATAAATCCTAAATACTAATGCTCCTAGTACACTCCCTTGCGGTACACCACTGACTACTGGTAATCTATCAGATAATACAGAGTTGATGCAGACTGCTTGTTTTCTTTGAGAAAGTTAGCTATTGAACCATTGAAGTGCAGAAGATGATAAACCAATGTCCTTAAGTTTCTTTAGAAGAATCACATGGTTGATAGTGTCAAAGGCTTTACTCATATCAAGATATACGACTGCAGTGATTTTCTTCTGGTCGATCCCGCGAAGAACAAAATCCCTTATATTAGTAGCGCCTAATATAATATGGAAAATTAATTATAGCAAATTCTATTTTTCGAATGAAATTCCTTTCTTTTATTCAAGCCATGGGGTGCCAAAGAGAACAACTGAGCACTCCAATAAGCCCCTTTTGTGATTAAAAGCCTATCGATCTCTTCAGAGCCGCTAGGAGCCTGTACCTGGTCAACGCATTGGAACGAAAAATCGTCCAGGGTGTGTGGGGTTTTGTTAAAGTGTATCACTACTTCACAAGTTGTTTTTTGCATAGCAGATTTGTGATTTCGAAATCTAACTTTAAAGTCAGTAGTAGTAGATCCCACGTATTGCAGGCGACATTTCTTGCAAGAAGCCAAGTAAATCACATTTTTAGAATCACAGAAAAGTCTAGAGTCAATGGTGTAATTTTTGCCTGTCTGAAAGCTGAGAAATGATTTAGATTCAACAAAGAAATTATGACAGAGATCACATCTTTTCCTATCGCATTTAAAGCAGCCATTGTTATGAGGAATGGTTTGTCTCTCACTGGCAGTTTTAAAACGAGATGGTGCTAACAATTCTTTGAGATTTTTCAATCGACAAAAAGATGGTATGATAGCACTTCAAGGAAACAGTTCTTTCAATTTGGGGTTAGATTGCATTTATTTTTATATACATTGCCAAAACACCTAAAAATTGTGTTCCATTAGCTTATGCTGTAAGCAAAACATCAACTTTGCCAAAATCTCTTCTGTTAATCTTAATATTATGGCAAAGCAAACACTTATTACTAAAAACAGTTATAAAAGGTGTATGAAAGTAGGATCAAACAACACAACAACAAAGCCCCAGCTACCGCCTAAAGCTGCCAGCCTTACTCTCTTTCACAACTAGAAATAAACATTGCACCAGTTTGTTTTTAAATCAAGCTGTCCTGGATAAAGATCTCAGAATTGAGTTCAAATGCAGTAGGAACATAAAATTTAACAACTTCAAATAAAAACTAAAGGATGACCAATAACATAGCTGCTTAATTAGGCTTCTGGAATGTTACCTGAGTTTTATTGAAATGCAAATAAGGATATTTGCACTCAAAAGGGTGAGGTCGAAAGAGGCACCTTGTTTGCACACCATCAATCAGCACAACAAACATTTAATTAGTCAAAAAACTGTACAAGTGCCCTCAAAAACACATTCAAGTACACAGTCAAGTGTTTACCCAAAATTGATGTTGGCCAAAACATTCGCTTTTTAACTAGATCTTATTGTTCTTTTCTTGTATTGACAATTATTACATAATTTTGATCCTGGAATGCTTCCATTACAATTGAATTTTTTCTTGAGTGAAATTAATATCATACCATGCAAGTTGGCTATGCTCACTAAACTTCCTGGAGAAAGATCAGAATTGTGTTTAAATGGAGAGGGGAAAATGTAACCGAACCAAACCGAACCTACAGGGGTAACGAAACGTAGCTGCTTTACACCCTTCTGGAATGTTTCTCGAGTTTATTCAAATGCAAATAGATGGAGGCGCTTTTCTGTACTTTTAAACCCTAACGGCAGGAAAAAACATACGTGCGAAGTGAACCACGGGGAGTCGTTTTTAACAGCGTCAAAAAAGAGAAATATCGTAGACAGAATTGAAATTTTAATGCCTTGAGGTTGAGGTAATTAAACAGGTTTGAATCAAATTAAAAATAACGGACCATTCATATCATGTATGACAAATAGAGGCTGAGCTGTCTAGTGTGAAATTATGTAAAACAACCGGGAGGAGGCCACCCAGAATATTTCAAATCCGATGTTGTAATACGGGAATTTAATTGTTGATCCCATAAATCTACCACAACAAAATACACAAAACTCTAAACAATATTCTGAAGGTAAAAAACTTGCCATTCGATACCGTGCGGTTCAAAATGTGAAGCTTGTTTTCGAGAATTTAAGAAAACAACCGATCGCCTACAGCAATATTAATATAATAGCCGGTTTGCAATAAGAAAAAAAATAGAGGAAAGTAAGAATTCCACAGCTAGGAAGAGCCAGTTCACTAACCTCTCCTTTTAAGCGTCCTATCTGGTATTTTCCAAGCCAGCCATATGCAAAATTCGTATGTCTGTGTGGATCATCTTGAGTCATCACTTTTGTCACATCCTGACCCGCGAACCGCAGCAAAATATCCTTACCCCCTGGATGTCTCTCCAGAAATTCACTAACATCGTACACCTTTCCACGGTGTATGATCCAAAAATCTTTCTCCGAGTTATGCTGTTGCACTTCCTGAACGGAAAACAAAGGAAGTTTGCGCTTTCCCTCACCACTCTCCGCCATTGCACCAAATTTAGAATGATCGTAGGACGTGTACTGTTTATGTAACAAAGTCCACTCAAGTCTGCTAGTTTGCAGTCTTACCGGGAATAAATAATCCGTGAAGAACTAGGGTGAGCTGACTCTGAGATGTCTTAGAAGTCAGCGGCTACGCCCATGGATTGCACGATTTTCGTGGAAATTTCATGGTATTTCGCCGGTGCAGTCGATTAAATCGGTTCGTCTCATCTCTAAATTCCATCATTTTACGCAACGTTTCAAAAAGAACGTTAAGCACATCGATTAAGATGGAACCTTCATTAACAGCGAAAGATCTGCGGAAGATGTTTGTTGATTTCTTTGTAGACAAAAACGAACACACCTTCGTTCCCTCGTCGTCTACAATTCCTCATGATGACCCAACCTTACTGTTTGCGAACGCTGGTATGAATCAGGTAATTTTCGTAGATATCTATGCATTGAAAACTGCTTCAAAGGTCTTTTCTCTTTGCTTTTTACTTGCATCACAGCTCAGGTAATTGGTTATAGCTTTTTTATGTTGAGTGAAGAGTTTTAATTTGAATCACACTTCCAAAAAATATTTCACGTGCTCTTTTGAAATGAACAATTATTTTAAAAGGATTTAAAAACAATTCGTTGTTTCACAGATTTTCTCATAGTTTCCTTATTTTACTGTTTCAACTCTTACCCCTTCTGATCAAGGGTTTTGAAAACGGGAACTGGAAAATCTAGCCATAGACAAAGACAAAAGGACTTCCGTCTAGAAAACCATTCCATTTAATGCGTCTGCCCCTCTTTGGACGGAATTTTCTTTGTGAATGTGAATTTGTTGTTGATATCTGAGGTGGTGCAAAGTGCATCAACCCCTTTGATTGTTAAGATAAAACATCAACAGAAATGGGAAGATCTTCGTTTAAGCACAGAGCTGCACTATCCTGGAACCTCCTTCCCGAAGACATGAAGAACTGTTCAAACTTAACTTCCTTCAAGAGAAACTCAGGGAAAATAAGAGAATTCTGAAATCTATCAGTTTTGCTAAAGCTTCCTGCAGCATTTCCTACAAATCTGTTGACTTTAAATACTTTTAACAATTACTCCGTATTGTTATTAATATTTCTTTTAGTTGTCATTATTTACATACCATTTTCGGTCTATTCACTAATTCGGTACTTATTAATTGATAGTTTAATTGATGCAGGTCCACATCAGGACGTAATGTCTTGCCTATCCCTCAACCTGCTTTATTAAATAAACTATGATGATGATGATGATGGAAAGGGCATGGGTACTCTGCCACCACTTTGACAATTTTCTCCAGGGAGGGGGTAGATTATAAATTGTCTGGCCCAAAATTTTAGATCATTTTCCTGTGTACAACTTAGTAAATCTGTAGGGTCTGTAACAAAGACTAGCTCACAACAGTTTTCAAATCCTGTGGCTTCAACTGTTTAGACCAAACTGTACAATTTTAATCAACCCTCTAATGGCTAAAAAATGCTAGAATCCCAGGAAAAATGTTATTATTAGTAGAGTTGTCATAAAATTGTAAGCTTGAGAATTCACTTAACCATGCTAGAACCAATAAGAAAACTTCTGAATTTTTTCTAAGATTGTTCTATTTTGTTTTCATTATATAGTACAAGCCAATATTTTTGGGGACTGTGGATCCAAACAGTGATCTATCCAAACTCAAACGTGCTGTAAACAGTCAGAAGTGCATTCGTGCAGGAGGCAAACACAATGATTTGGATGATGTGGGGAAGGATGTTTATCATCACACATTTTTTGAAATGCTGGGAAATTGGTCCTTTGGAGATTATTTTAAGGTCAGTTTTTGTGAAATTTGCTTTCACTGGCTGGTGAAATGAGGTAGCTTTTAATTGCTGATGAATAACTGTCTTTTACTTGTATATAATAACCAGAATATAGTCATGCATTTTGTTTTATAAGAGATCACAGATGACATCAAAATATGGTAGGAGCATCAGTGAAGCAATCAGATGCACCCTGTGTGTCTCTCTTTTGTTTTGACCATAAAATAATGTCATCAGTGATCTAGTACAGAACAAACACACATCAACAGGAATCTATTTATTAGATAAGTGATGGTCATTACAATGACTTGCAGTGGTTTTTTTTTTCTGGATGATAAACAAAAAGGTATTTAAAATTGTATATTTTGTCACATGTTTAGAAAGGGGCCATTGAGTTTGCTTGGGAGCTGCTGACAGTCAAATATGGGATGCCAAAAGATCGTCTTTATGTTACTTACTTTGGAGGTGCAGAGGGCCTTGAATCTGATGAGGATACCAAACAATTTTGGCTGGACATGGGGTAAGTATGCTCTAAACTGCTCATGCATACTTCCTAGTAAGCTGTTTTCACTTAAATAGCATTTGGACAGATATTGATTTACTGTTAACCACAGCTGTGGAAGTAATTACAACTAGTGGATCTTCTTCACCCTAAATGTTTTCCTGATATTTACACAAAATGTACTCCAAGCTGTCACCATTTCTGTCTGCTGGCAAATACAACTCCCTTTCTTATTTCTTTGAAGAGGCTTGGGAAAAGAGATCTATTTTTCCTCCAAAAGGATATATTACAAAGTACACATAATGTCTTTAAAATTTTGGCAAACTTTGCTAATTTTGAAATTAATTTTATTTGACAGCCTCCCACCTGACAGAGTGCTCCCGTTTGGAATGAAAGACAACTTTTGGGAGATGGGTGACACTGGTCCTTGTGGACCATGCACAGAAATTCATTTTGATCGTATTGGTGGACGTGATGCTGCCTATCTTGTTAACATGGATGACCCAACTGTTCTTGAAGTGTGGAATCTTGTGTTTATTCAGTTTAACAGGTTGGTGTCATAGAAAAAAGACGTTAACTTTTTTATTCTAGTTACCAAAGAGGGACAAAGAGAAATCTGAGTTCCCTTGAGGAATCAAACTTCAGATCTCCAGATTCTGGACTCCTACAGATTCTACCACTGTGTCACAGAGAACTCTATTGTATGCTAGGTTATCAACAGGTTTATATGTGTTTAAGATGTTGGAAATCACAGATTCCAAACGCTGATTTGCATAGAGATTGCGGGTGTTTTGGTTATCTGATTAGTTATTGGACAAGTACTGTCACTTACCTAGCATTTATGAAGTGTAATAAAGAGTTATGGCCAAAATCAAGATATTTTGCTCTTTTAGAAACATTCCTCTCAGTCAATACTATCTGTAATTTACAGCTATATATTATTTATATTATTTAAAGTAATAACCTTTATTGAATCTAACATGAAAGTGTATAAAAAATAAAAAAACCTTGCAAGTTACAATGCTCCTTTTAAGGAAAAATATTACTTACCTAAACTACATAATTATATGGCTACGTATAATAAAATTATAATGTGCTGTTTAGGTAGTCTATATCTCACTTTAAGTCTCTTGACAAAGAAAATGCAAAGTCTTCAAAAGTTCAGATATATAAATGATAATATAAAATGTTAAGATAGGGTAATTTCTAGAAATTATCCAATATCGCTTTAATTGTTGAGGATAGAATATCAACTCAAATACATTTAAAAGAAAGGTCTAATCTCATATAATCTAACAAAGACAGCAAGAGCTTTTCAGAAAAGTGCTTCTTGAGAAACAAAAAAATTGTAGGGGCAGTTGGAATTATTTTTTTCTAATTAGTGTGCCCTGTTGTAAAATGGTATGCATTGGCTCTAGATCAAAACTGTGGGAAATTTTGATCTTTCTGTTTCTTTTTTTTTATTTTTTTTATCGAGTTCTAGAAAAGGCAGATGGTTCCTAATAGATAATTTGTTCTTATAAAAGTGTGTTACATTTTATTTACTGTAGAGAAACAGATGGGAGTCTTAAATCTTTGCCCAACAAACACGTGGACACTGGTATGGGATTGGAGCGTCTAACATCAATCACCCAGGGAAAGATGTCCAACTATGACACTGATTTATTTCAGCCATTCTTTGAAGCGATTCATAAGGTATTTCCCTCATTATCCTCAAATATCCTCTCTGTTTGAAAAGTTAGGAGCTCAACGTATTTTTAAATTAATATTGTTTGGTTTATATCAGGGCACTGGTGTCAGACCATATACAGGTCTTGTTGGAGCTGAAGACAAAGATGGTGTTGACATGGCTTACAGAGTTGTGGCTGATCATGTCAGAACATTAACCATGGCTATTACTGATGGTGGAAAACCTGACAACACTGGTAGAGGGTTAGGCTTTGTTGAATTTGCTTACCAACAGCAAATTTTCAAGAATTTGTTCATGGTCTCCGATCATACCTGTCCTATCAGAGCAACTACCTCAGCATCATGGCCCACTCTCTCTCTCCGCCCACTCCCTCTCCGCCCACTCTCTCTCCTCCCACTATCTCTCCGCCCCAAGGTGCTGTTGTAGAGAGAGTTAAGCTATGACACTTTATTTTCTTTTCTTTATCTTTCTAAATTTGTTTTTGTTTTTGTTTTTCATTACAAAGCTAAAAATAGTAGCAACAGTACATACAAAATTGAGATTACTTAGGATGTAAATATACTCAAAATGTTCAAACTCAGGAAATAGGGAAATGAGAGAATCTGTGTTCTTTTTCCATATTCAGTTAGTTGTGAAAAATGTCTTTTTTTAGGTATGTGCTAAGACGTATCCTTAGAAGATGTGTTCGTTTTGGAACAGAAAAACTTAACATGCCTCCAGGATTCATAGCCTCACTGGTGGAAGTGGCTGTGGAAACTCTGGTCAGTGGTTTCAACCATTGCACATTGCATATATTGTAGACTTTTATGCAGACCTTCAATTGATAGGGTACTTTTGTTAGACATACAATTAAATGAGTAACTGCTGGAAGTCATTTCCAAAGAGAATTTATCTGATTTTGCTAGAAATTGGAAGAGACAATTGTTGATAAATGCTTAATTGATTTATAGGGTGACTTCTTTCCTGAAGTGAAGAAAGATCCTCAACAGGTAAGAACGGCATATTTTGTCTTGATTGAAATATATTGTTTATTAATGCCCA